GCGTCGCCCGCTGATTAATCCGTGGCAAAACCGCGAGCATGTAAGATCCTTGGCGAGAACTTGCGGATTCGAGAATACGTTACATCGTAAGATGCACGAACGGTCCCGCGTTAATTTGCATCACACAAAGGAATCTCGTATGTATGCTTAAGGGTGGCTTACATATCATCTCGCCGGCGGGGTCGCAGATGCTAGCGAGACGACCCCTGCGCGTCATCAACAATTTTCCTGCAACGTCAATGGTGTTGCCGTGTCATTCAGACTAAAGAAATGAGTCTCGAGAGAGACAAGTCACACATACTTTTTGCGTCATCGACATACACAGAGTGAAGGAATTAAAATGAGGAATATACGTCTCTTAGTCTTTTACAAAAAACTTCCATCTTTAAAAAAAAAAAAAATTGTTTTATTTTCTTCTATTCAATAAAATGCGATATCGTGTTGTTGTTATAGTCTTATATACAATCTTTTATTATATATTATCATTTAATAAAAATTATGAATTCTTTTTAATAAGAATTATAAATGTCAATATGAGAAATACGACATTGATTCATTTAGCGTTCATGACGAGAAATATCTTGTTTGCTTATCTCGACATGTGCACAATATTTACTAAAGTCGAAATCCAATGTTTGCGATAAAGGGATTGAAAACGTATTGATTACATATACCTTCAAGATTTATTTATGTCATCGTTGATAGATCTCCAAGTCAATAGAAATGTATCGAAAGTAAATATATATGTATCCGCAAGTCAAAGAAATTTAACTCTTTCTTTTTGATTTTAATAATTATTTTGTGTTAATGTTAATTGATTCAATCTATAGATGTAGAAATTGATACAAAGTAAGAAAGGAGGTAATATAAGAATGATAACACGTTCCAGCATTTTCAGGGAAATCAGTTTACTAGATTAAGATTCAAGCTAAAAAGCTAAAAACTAATGATCGTATGAATAAAACATTTAATGAATATAGACAATATTTTGTTCGGATATATTTATATATTGTAAAACACGTTATCTTTTTTTTAATGTCGTTATTTGATGTCAGATTTTTTTGAGCTAAGATGAATTTCTTTTTTATAAATTATTTCGTAAAATGCCATTTTTATTTGCTACTTCTTCAATTTTCAGTATTTAAATTAATATCGTTGCACACTTATTGGCACACAATCTTTTATTTTACTACAGAAAGTATTGTAAGTAGTAAAGCGGTATCGCGGTCGAGACGTAAACTTTCTTTGACACAAACTTTTAACATCGGCAGAAATTAAATGGCTAGCGATATAGTTAGTTGGCTAAGAAATTGCAACCAATTTCTGATCTGTGTACTTTTCATGAAAGCCCTCAGAAAATCTATTTCTCGAAAGATATTAATTGAACTTTTTTAATGCTTTATATAATGAGACGGCTTTTCTAGTTTGATAGATTTTCGACAAACTAAACGACACCGAATACATTGACAATATTATACAAATATGTCGCGTATAATAAAGAAAATACAACTATTTTACCTTTTTAGAGAAAAAATATATAATATATAAAAAAAAGAGAGAGTATAACTATTAATATACTTTCGTTATTGAATGTCCAATTAATTTGTGAAAATAGTTGATTAATAGATAGAATTGCATAGATAGAATTAAAAGTTGTATATATTTAATGAAACACTACAAATTAGCCAACAAAAATTTCAATGAGATATATTGCCATGTGTTTTATTAAAGATAAAACATTTGGAGTAGATATAATAAATTTTGTGTTTTCCCACATTTTGTGTTTGCGATAGAAATTGCAACTTCGTTTTCGTTCTATTTTTAAAAAAACGCCGAGAATCGATTTATCGCCTTGGAAACCTAAATACGATATTTTCCAAGAGCTTCTCTATCTTTATCATGTTTTATTACATTTAGGTGACTAACTTGATTAATTACTTCCAATTTTCATATATTTAAATATACTTATTTTACAGTATTCTGTTTCATGATTTCATTAGAGTACTTTATTTCAAACGCCTTCGTAAGTTCTTGATTGGAAGTTCTCGTTTTAATTCATTTCTAAGTAAGTTACATAAGGAGCTTTCAGTAAATTGAATTACAGAACTACAAAGAAAACAATATTACTTTTTTAATTAATTTCAAATACTACATTATAGAATCGACTTTATATGGTGTTAATTTGACGTTATTTGATAAAATCTTTGGCCAATTTTTTTGTGAAGATAATGTCCGATCAAATCGTTAAAAAAAAAAATAGACTTGACAATGACAATTCGTGTACGTTTATCTCAAAATAAAATAAAATGAAGATTGTCTATTTATTTATATTAATGTTATCGTTTCTTTATAACACCCAATATAGAAAAATTAAGGAAGATGGAATTGAAAGCTTGCTGCAGCACTTCAATACTGGTTGGCCCTTTGTATTGGATGTACCAAAAGTAGGGTAAATATCCGGATAAATCTCGACAAGTGGTTGGCATGCTGCCATATATGGTTTAGTAGCACCGCAAAAGTGCAACGTATCACATATAACGCGTTTGCGCCACATACGTGACGTTTTAGCGTAGCATTCCAAATTGCTTTCGGGCAAAATAGTGGCGCAGGTTTTGCAGAACAATGCTATGTAACAAGCGGCTCTTTTGAGGCGCAATTAAATTTGTGAGAGCGAAGTAATAATTCCGCCGCGAGATACGAGACAATTCGCGCCACTACAAAATGCACGAGGTGGGGACTGTCGTTTCATTTTTAGACTGGCGCAATCTGCTTTTTATTGCTATATTTACGACTGCGTGTTCCTAAATAACAAAATTACAAAGGCAGGAGATATAATACGCCTTTGCATAGCTGTGAAAACAGCTATCGTATGAATCGTAAAATTAATACGTCACAGACGTTTGATGATATTTAATTAAATGCATGTTTTGTTGAAAGCATACAAACTCATTATGCTAGGAATCTCATTATTCGAATCTTATTACTCGCCAAAACTCGCTTCTGCATATTATACGATCTGTATAATATCGCGATAATAAGAAAACAATTTACAATTTGTGTTGTAAATCGATTATTTTTAATATCGCGCGTATGTACAAAGCAACATAAATGGTAGCTTTTTGATCATTATTTTAGCATTGGCTTTTTATAAAAGAATTAAAAATCTCAAAATCGATACTGAAATCAACAAATTAGTTTTATGTATGTTGGAACTATATATAAGCGTGTGTTATTCTTGAAATGCAAGAAATGCAAGCACACGTCGATGCACAAAATTTGAATGTTGCAAATAGGTCGTGAAATGAGTGCGATATTATGCATAATTTTTAATAACCATTTCATTGTTATGTGCATTATATTCACTTTTGTTCATATCAAAGTGAAATATTTTTCTTAATATTATTATTATTTATTAATATATATATAAAAGAAAAGGATTCTAATGCAATTGTTTCTATCCAGAAAAAAAAAGAAATAACTGATTAACTCTAATCAATTAATGCGAGAAATTATTTGGTGAATCGCACGCGAATTTGTGTAAAATTATCGACTAGTGAATTGTCGCCACATCTGAATGATTTCAAAAAAGTATTGACACATTATCAATTCTGTCGCCGTGCTATTATCTTATATATCTGATATTATCTGTTTATGTATTATATGTTATATATTGTAATCTTGAGCACGTTTTCAGATAAGACAAGCGATAAACCATTTGGCGGCTTTAACATTCCACAAGCAACTACAGTAACGAAATTGACTAGACATTTTTCTTCGATAATAATTTTTATCTCGTTTGAAGTCTCTGACGCAATACACATGGTTTGCTTTATCGAATTAAAATCTTTTCATGGAAGAAAACTCATTTATGTGAACATAAGTTTTACAAGGGAAATTTACATGTATTTTCTGGCTTTTGACGTCATAGTATGAGATTGCTAACGGTGATATCGAGGATCCTTAATTTTATCGCGAAATATATAGTATATTCCTACATAGAATACTAATATTTATGTTTAATGATATTTGACATTCAATCTCTTGAGAATTCTTATGTAAGCTTATTAACGAGAAGCTGGGAAATATTATATATAATTAACACTCTGTGCGCCACAAGAATTCCACAAGAATTCTCGTTTCTATCCAAACAATGCTTTATTAATAAACCGCGGAATTCGAAATATTTCACCTGTTGACAAGAATCTACTGCGATAAAATAGTAATGAACGATATGTTAACAATCTTTATCTTTAGCATAGAAGAACGGCCAACATCATATTTCAACAGAATGATTTTATGATAAATCTATAAATATCAGAATGATATTATGATGGATTGACGTTAATATATAATCAGCAAAAACGCGATGGTTGAAATTTATCGCAAAATCATCACATCCATTATTTACGCGATACTTCGTTATTTCTTTGAAAAAAGCTTGAGTAGAGTCAAAGTATAATGGTATGACGTTACATCATTATCGAGAGAAGTCACACAACTCCGACGAGGCAAGGAAACGAAGAATCAACTTACTTGGTCTGTCGTTGTCGGCATCCTCTTTACCGCAGGGGTACGACTGTCGTTGTGAATGATGGTGCTTATGGTGCCGACGATGTCTCCTCTCCCCTGGCAGATGCACGCCCACGTACACCGTGTGCGCCCTGTGACCTGGAAGCAGATGAAAGGGATGCCTCGTCACGCAGTATCTCTCAACCAAAATAATTCTCTAGAGGGTGCACGCGTGAAACGCGGGGTTTCTCCTTCGTTCGCGTACACAAAAGTAGAAAATTAGGTCGGCATCGCTTAATTGCATAATTTCGCTTATGACAGAGGAGAAGATCTTGCTCAGAGATGAGAGGATCCTAGTATCTAACCAGAAAGAAAATTAATTTACACGAGTGTTCGTAACACAGTTGCGTTATATTGGCACATTGAGACGAGTCAGCTTAGGTGAAAAGGTCAATAGGTATGTGATTTTGCGGTAATAGAAGGACGAATGGTTGAACTTTGTATGCGAGGGATGACATATATTAATAGCACACTATTCACACTTTCCTGATATTAATAACAGTGCAACCTTTTAGCATAATATAGTTTACAGTGACTATCATTACACGTAGTCTCAAGCTTCATAAATTGAAAGCTATTAGCTTGTGATTGCTTTGATAAGCAAATTGTAGTATTTTGCATTGATATCATGAATAAGAACATGATAGAAGAAGTGTGATAAGTAGATATTTGCATTATGTGATATATATTTAGAAAATGGCATTATATATAGAAATAAAATTGGGCATTAAAGTTAAGATTATGGAATATAGTATCAAAGTGTAGCGTTAGATTAAGATATCTATACTGCATGTATATCTTGACATTTTTACAATCTGGTTAGACATCTTTTAATACATGTTGATTCTGTGCTACGCATTTTATTAAGTATATCTTACTTCTTAAAAAATATACAGTTTATAAAATAATATAAAACTTTTTTCATAAAGTAGATATATTTATTTATATAAATCTGTAAAAAAGGGAATAATAATTCATTAAAATAATATTTATATCTTTAGAATAAATATTGCTCTCTATTCCAGATTAAATTTTTTTAGAAAATAATTATTAGAAGAAAAATTTTTTTTTGTTTCTATCTAGAAGCAATTGAGAGAAGCTTTAAGCTGTGAATTAACTATTCTCCATGAAATTTCGTCTTTAAAGACGGGTCGACATTGTTTAAGGAAGCTTCGAATTACGTCGATTGAAGGAGATGAACACCTGCCAGACGAGGCGATCAATTTGTTTCGGTAAAGGGTTCAGCGTTTACGATGCAAGATCGTCACAACATATATGGCCTCTATCCGTACGTTTCATTGTCGATACAAGGTGACCTCGTCGCATGTATCTATCCATCTATAGTTGGGGTGTTTAACGAAGTAACGATTTTCGAAGCTCCTACACGCGCGAGGATCGTCATGTGAGCAAACACTGAAGCCAAATTCGTATCGGACTGACCTATAGCAGGCACGTTATTGCTTGGAGATTTGATGCTTCAGCAGAAAAATGTGCCTCGTTATTCTTTACTTGTAAAATAGCGGTTATAGAAGAAATATACATGAGCTTTTGCAGAACAAGAATCATAGGAATTATTAAAGAGATCGCAATTTTTCCTTCTTTATTAATAAAATATTTTTCTTTCATATCGTTTCCGTAATAAATCGCATAAATTTGATTTATATCACTATGAAAGATTAATTCTGATTGATCTCATCGAAATATTCATGATAATGAGAAAATATGTGAATTCTGTAGAAATTCCAATATAGCTATTCGATATATCAGCTAATCAGCAATTCTATATCTAAAATTATAATCTCAGAAATTTTGATCATGATGGAAAGTACAATCGAATACTTAATGATCAATATAATTATAAAACGTCTTGCTTAATAAATTGATAATATTTCTATTTATTCCTAAATAATAGCGTAAACAAAAATATTTGTGTTGACTACGATTAAATTTTATTAACTTTGAGAAAATTCCTTGTTAATGTTTCTTACCTTCATAATCCTTTTCCGTGTAATGATGAGTGATCCGTGCCCCCGGATCCTTCGGGGCCTCATCGTCACCTGTCCCACCCACGTGGGCCCCGCCACTGCCGGCTCCCGGCTGCATCCACGGTCTGTGAAAATAAATTAAACCTTCAATTCAATTACTGGAATGTCGATAGCGATGATGATTCTTTGTATGCGCTCGCTACGTTAACAAACGCATGTTTTTTGTTATCAAAGCATTAACGAGTTTTCAACCGGCAGGGATGTTATCGAGTTTGTTTGTCTATGACTTTGTTCTCTTTCCGAAACATATTGCTTCTGGCAAATAAATTTTCTAAAAAGAAATTTTCTATAAAGGACGTCATATAACATAATGGTGTTTTATTAGCGAGAACTGTACTTTTTTGTACTTTGTTATTAAATCAAATTTGTTCGATTAATCGCATGAATTGAAAATTGTCTATTTATTTCAGTGGTGGGGAAAAATGCCAAGCACGCACGTGAGTGTGCATCGTGAAATAGTTCGTGGGTGTCTATTCACGAAATATTCCGTGGGCGTCTGTCCACAACCGTCCGTAACTTCTGTGATGCGAGTTAATAATAATTAAACTTCCTCAGCCGGGGGCATTTTGCTTACAACCGCTTCCTGTTTATATTTAACTTTTCTGCTATTAAGTTTTATATTATTTCTTACGTTTTTATATTTATTCCTTTAGTTTTTGATATAGCTTTATAAGTTTCATATATGTAATTAAATATGATTTAATTCTACGTAATACGATTTAATTCTGCGTAATAAATTAGTTTTGTGACTAGTTCTCTAACACGAATAATGTACGTATGTATTAATGATAATGCACATTTCCACATTGTATTCGCGATAATATATTTGTTCCAATTTGTAAATTATTGTGAGGTAGCTTTTCCGCACATTTTGTTGTTGAGGCGAGAAATACATAAATTTCGATACTCTCATCGACCTTTTGCTCAGTAATGAGGATGAATTTAAAATGCATTCCGTAAGTTAACTAAATTTACATTTATATAGTTAATTTCATACTAGGTTTTCAAACTAGGTTTTATTAAGAGAAAGAGATACTGTCTTTGAATAAATTAAATTAGTAGAAATTATACAACAGTTTTGAATATACGATCAGATTAATACATTTATATTTATTTTATTATTAGTCTGTGTATATAACAATAGGAACTATATATAAATATTAGCTACATCATAAAGCCTGATAGTATTAAAAATGACTTAGTTGAGGTATAATGGCATTTTGTTTAATACAAAAATTTTTTTACATTTAATCTACATTTTATAGTTAATTAAAGAACGTGAAATTTTATCTATCGTTGATGATGCTAATAGAGTCATTTTTTGTATTATCAAAATAATGATATATATAAAAAATTATAGCAAATGCTATTTGTATAAAAAAGTGAATTCTTTTAAATTTGGATTTTTATACATTTTTATATTAAAATATATATATATTTGTTTCCATTAAATATATTTCTTTAATGTTTATTCGAAGTGTGCATTGTATATCTTATCAATCATATAATTATTCAATCCGATTATTTTTCATTAAACTGATATGAGTACAAGTTATATAACTCTGTAGTAGAAGATATCATTTTATTCTACTTGTTACGCATTCTATACCTGTTCTTGTATTACATAGGAAACTTACTTGCAACGCTGAATAAATGCATAGAATCACTACATTCAATCGTTGCAGCTGACAAATGATCAGCTTAGGAATATTTTCATGATTATGCGCGAAAATGAGAAAAGTTGAAGACAATTGTCAAAATATCATAGTTTCGATGAATCAGGTATGAGATTGGACGTGAGTTAATTACAAATCAGAAAAGGAAAAATAGATGTGGACACAAGTAATCCAAACGTGATATTTCAACGAGAATTGACTGCATTAATATGCATTGTCATAATAATTGAGAAAGCAAAAGTGAGTTGAACGTAAAACCTACGTAAAGAACTAATATTTTGATTAAATTATATTTCTTTTTCATAATCATATTATTGTAATGCAGAGTTGCGTGTGTATTTATATAAGAGATTATACAATATACGCCATTAAATTGCATATTATCTCAGAATAATAAATTCATGAGATTTAATTATGTATACATTGATTTTATATCATGATAAATTTGACGTAGATAAAAGATTCATAGAAATTCTAATATATTTGTCAAACACTTGAAGTAGTCAATATAATTTATAAATTCAGCTTCTAATGAAATATATAGGTAAATCGCAATTATATGTACAGACTTATCAAAAACAATTTTACTAATATTATAGGTGAAAACATTAATATCAATTGATGTTGAGAACACTTTCTATATATTTTATTGTTATATCATAAACATATTTACCTAAATTTTAACTAATGTAATTCAAGCAATATTCATTTATTAAATATCGATGAAGATATCGGTTATAAAAAGATAGTTATCTTTTTGTACCAAAAACATATTACAAATTTAATTAAATAGCAATTCCAGAGAGTGGTACTTGATTGTTTCAATTTAATGTTACAAATTGTTTAGTTTAATCAACATTCACTTTTTCTTTTTTTTTTTTTTAAATTCTACGCTTATGAAATATTACAAAAATCCTCTTTTATTTATATTGAAAATACTTGTCAGTTTTTCTCAGAAGAAACATGCGTAATAATATAGTCGGATATTACGATATTTTGATTTTGTCTCATGTAATCATCTTCTTCCTCTGAGACATTTACTAATTTCCTTCGACGTCTTTAATCACTCTGTTCTCACGTTTATCAACGGTTGGTAGAGCAGCTTTAATGTTAAGTGAGCGTTACAATAGAATGTATAAAATATATTATCAAAAATTAAAATGTGGGTCTGTAAAAGCAGTTATAAAATTTATTTCCTAAATTAAATGGAAAACATTCATTCTTTTTAATCTTCTATACATATCAGTATGCAAAATGTTCGGTTCTTCTTGTCTTTCAAATCCAGTTATTTGAGATCGCGATTCTAAGTCGATCGATCAAAGTTTCAGACAGACGGCAACTCACGTGCATAAATAATGTATTTCAAACAAAAGTTTGATATCACTATTATTGTCTAGGATGTAAGTTTCTCTGTAACAGAAATAGCTATACTAATGTATAGTCGTCTGTTATAGTCGTTTGTAATAGTCTGTATAGTCGTCGTATATAAATTTATGTTCGCACATCGATTGTATAACTGCCATGGACGCCATAGTTCTATCGGTATTCCGCTCCTTTCACGCTTGCAAAAGCGATTCGATTATCATGCTAATCGTGATTTAATTCTGGGACGCGAACAGCTGTTTCATAGAACGGAGAGTTCCGCACGTGTTGGGTTTCTCTCCTCGACGTGACGAATTTCTTTCACGCCTAAGAACCTGCTATTATGAGAGACAATAGCGGTAATGACAATAATGACAATGCAGTTAATGAATAAATGGCAGTAAATGGCAATGATTGAATTTGTTACTGCGTTTTGTAAACCTGATACCAGAAAGAGATAATTTGTAAATTATTTAAAGAGATGAATATTTGTCGGATAGAATAAAAAAACGCAAGATATTTCTTGCGATATATTTATATATATTTCTTGCAAATATTTTAAAGTTTCAAAGAAAAAAAATTATTTTTTTTTTTGTTACATTTAATTAAAACAGATTTTGTTTGCAAATCTTTCTCTCAGTTTATATAAAAAAATCTTATAGATAAAATATATATTGTGCTCTCTCCTCTCATCAAGCTTTTTTTTTTTAATTTATTAGATTATTTTTAATATTGGATTGTTAATTGTAGTCATTGTCGTATTTTGCTAACAAGTAAACGTAAAATAGTCATTTACAAGTGTCAGAAAAATGTAGAAAAAATGAACATAAAGCGAGCTATCGACTTTAAAACATAAATTGTAATATGATGTAAGTGATATAATACGATATACTCATATAAATTATAATGATTCTTATTTCTTTGAACGTGAAACATTTACAGGTTAACAAAATTATGAATAGATAATATAAATAATACATTATTATCATTATATATTGTGTCGCATAAAAAACGCGGTTTAATGAGAAATTTATTGAAGAATATTATACGCGTTCATAAATTACATACATATATGAGAGAAGCATAAATAACATACTTAATTTATATACGTACATGTACGGCATAACAAATAATTGATTATAATTAATAAAGTTTTTGCCGGAGTATAATATGCTACATGAAAATTATTCTTGTCAGACAGCGCATCATGAACAGACATATAAAAAGATATGGTACACTACGATTATCCACCTACACTGCGAATGTTAATTTCAACACGCGACTTATACGACAGTTTTGTGCCTTGTCATCTTATAACAAAGACTAAGTTATATTAATTGAAGATTATAATATATGTTTCTCTCTGTTACTTTTGTGTATATATAAAACTCTTCGTTACTTGTTTTCATTTAATATTTGCTTTCTCTATTTTTAACTGTGAAGGCTTCTTTGTTTACTTTACCTATTTATTCGATTGTGCTGTTTACTCAGTCATGTGTTTTTAAATAACATGGTTTAAAGTATGTTTAACAACATACTTTTAAATGTGAATAATAAAATAAAAGTTTTTAAATAAACCTTTCAAATTTAATTTGTTTTATTTAAATAAAAAATAAAATGACAGACGACGAAAGATAAGGCAAGAGATTAGAATTTAGAATAACAATATAAATGGTAGCTAGTCTCTCGCCTAAGATTACCTAAGATTGTATTACCTTGTTTCCGATGTAGTCAATCTTTGTTCTTATCTTTGCTCGACAACCTCCGACTTCGACGATGCTCAATCATGCGAGACAGACGTTTGAGATGATCACTAAGCGGGCGACATTTCTTATATCTCATTCCCGGTAGCACGTGGCGGGGAACAATTAAACGTTGCAAAGCACATATGCATCTCGTCGCAGATATAACTGGCGCAAGATGAGCTTTACGCGACGCGAATCAGTCGCGGATAGAACGGGAAAGGAACGGTCGCTTAATCTGCTTTTCGTGGGTGCTGCCAGGTGCAGTTCTCGGCGACGGACGCA